TGGAGTTAGGGCAAATCGTAAATCTATGTGTGTGGAAAAGTATTCTTTTATCTCTTCATAAAAAGATAGGAACTACTTGTTAGAGGCCTTCCTTTGTCATTGCTTGTGGTTTGATTCTCATGTTTAAACTGTAGAAAACATATCCCTTCTTAGTGCAGGACAGCCTTTAGTTTTTATATGACTAGAGTGGACTGACTGCTTCTTAAATAGAGCAGATAATTCTAAATCTGAATTTTCAGTTCTGGAATTTTTAGTTTTCCAACAAAATTGTAGATTTTTATAGAAGACCGAATGATGTGTGCAGGGTTCTTTTGTTTGTTTTAATCTTGTGATAAGTTCAGTTTTCTTACAGGAAAAACTAGGCTTACTTTATAAGCAGTTGTATAACAGGAACTGGATGAGGAGGGGAAGTGATAAATGTGAAAGGCTTCAATGTCAAAGCACAATTAGAGGATTAGAACAAACTTCTTTATCTGACTTCTTGCAGAAGCATTAGACTGCGAGTGTGGCTTTCTGAATTTGCATTCATCTTAAATGAGCTCTATTGAGTATGTTCTGAAAACATGCTAATTCAGTGATTGTCAGTAGTATTTACACATTTTTTTCAGCACTCTGATAACTGGATAACAAATACAGTCCAGGCATTTACAGCTTCTAGATTTAGTATCATTCTGATTTACATTTTGCCTTAGCTTTTGAAATGTATCCTCTTTCATTTTGTCAGTGATGCTCAAATGCCAGTAACCCTGAGGTATAAATGATAATAGTCTAGTAAAAAAGGGAACTCATCAGGATTTACAGGTCTGCCCAGGTTCAAGAACCTTATAATATTACATTTACTGCTGGAAAAATATGAACAAATTGCTATTCATTGATAAAACTCCTAGAACATAACTTGAAAGAATAAATAGTGCTAGAGGATACTATGCTCAAGTGGGATTTAAAAATTATCAGTCTCAGAATGAACCTCACTGGGTTCACTGTAATTTTAGCTGAGTTCTTTATGTAATTCTGAAAATCTCGTCTTTGGCGATGGTGCTGGTTGAAATTATGAAAGAAAATCACTTTCATTTTTGCAAGAAATGATGGAAGACTGTATAATCAGGAGTGATACAGGAAGGCTGAATGGCAATCATGGGCTGCTTGCCTCTTCCCAAAGAAACAAGCCAGCAGTAATGAAACTAGTGGATTCTAAACAAAAGGAGGTTTGTTTTTGTTTAGTTTTGCTCCCCCTCCACACACACACACAATGTGAATGTTTTACTGCAGAATGCTGTGGATGTTCAAAAGTTTACATGAGTTCAAAGGGAGACAGGACAAGCTCACAGAAGAAGAATTTTTGATGTTGCTGAACAAAAACACATCTGACCCAGAAAGTCCTGAGATAGAACTGGTGAAGTGGGACAGCACTTGGGAGAGAGAAAGCCTTGTATGCCTCTCCTACTGTTATCTTCTTCCCCAGGCATCCAGCCTTGGCCACTGTTGGAGGCAGGATTATAGATTAGCTGAATGTTTGGGATCTGACCCAGTATGGCCATTCGTATCATCTACCTGATCTCGCGAGCTGTTTTTCAATCTTTGCATTTCTATGACTGAGGTTACTTTCTTAAGAAATAAAAGTTTGGAGGTTGATTCCAGTTAAGGTTTTCTTACCTGCCTGAAGTATCTATCACCTGTGTGGGTTTTTTAAGCACTTTCAGATGAAATAAGACATATTGCACTTGGTATTGGTATTTCTTTAAATATCAAAGACATGTATACTGAGTGAAACAAATTTTGACTTGCATTCTGTTCCTGAGAAAGCCAGAAATTAAAATTTCAAGCTGAACTTAAAAAGCATAAAATGAGAAGTCTCTTGCTTTTAAAGTAATAGTATGTTGAGGTAAATCGAAGGTGTTGATAGAAAGTTTGTTTCTTTTTCCTTGTCTTTTGAAACTGCTGGCTAGTTATTTACTTGCCAGTGGCTGCCTACCTTGGTTTAGAACAAAAAAAATGCTTAAAATCAACTAAATTTACACTGTTTTTATTTTTATGGTAAGGGTGCGGTATCTGCACTCTGAAGGTGAAGCAACCAGACTACGAAGGACAAATTTGTAAGTTTTGATCCAAAAACTACCCCCCTAACCCCCTCTTACAGGCATATGAGTAAAAATAAAGTACTTTTAGGAAGTACTGGGTGCAACACATTCAGATGCTCAGGAGCTCCGACAATATAAGCCTTTTTTATTTGGGATGCATAGGTAGGCATGACTTAGGAACATAACTCCTCATCTAGATTTAAATTTCGGCATAAGCTCTTACCAGAGGGACAGAAGAGTTGGTATCAAAGGCAGGAGGGAAGGAGTGCAGCTATTCAGGAATGTACCCATGAAAACATTACTCCATCCGCAGCTCTCCAGGATAATCTTGTTGCAGAACCAGAAAAGGTGGAGAAAACCTCATCCAGTCCTGAATAGCTGGTAGCTTGGCTTTATAACAACTTTTGTGGGAGGTACAGGTTCACTCCCCCTCTCCTGAATCAGTCAGATCAGGAATTTCTCAAGTAATGGTCACATTCTTTAAATTTCAGATGTTGCTTTTTTGACTGTGGTGTTCTTCGTTGTTTGGGTTCTGTGCCCCCCATGGAAAGAGCGAAGTATTTTTAATATTAAAAACCATGAAGCTTCCTCAAACAGTTTTGAGATATCAAGCTGGAAAGCTATTGTGTTGCACTGCGCTGTTGCAAAAAGCAGAAGCTACTGCCCTGGAGAGTGAGAGGAAGGCAGTAAGAGTTTCTCTTCATGCTTCTCCGGGCTCTTTGAGCTAAGATATGAAGGAAAGTCTGGTTTAAAGGCGAGTTCCCATACATGCAGCTTTATCTGCTTGTTCTGCTTTTAAGTCAGTGATTTTCCCCCCCTACCTCCAGTTTCGTAATCTTAGAAAGAGTAGCTTCTCTTTAACCAGGGTGAGGCTCCGGGGTGCTGGCTGCTGTAATGCAGAGACATTGCTGAACAAGTTGTCACTCAACCGAGTAGCAGCTTTGCCAAGCTCCAGGAGAGCAGTAGCCTGAAAACGTACCCCAGCAGTGACATTAAGGGCTTTAGTCTCAAAGTATTTGGGGGGAGTCTAGTATTAAACAGGCTCTTTAGAGAGTGATGCATTGAGACATTAGAGATGCATATCTGGCTTTTGAACTTTGGATTTGTCAGTGGCGTACAGAAAATGTACAGAATTTCTACTCATGCTGGGGGTTTTGTGCATTTTTCTGAAGTTGGTTATGAGTCAGAAGAGTTCAGGATTCCCAACTAAGATAACTGCCTATTTTCAGGTGTTATGCAGACATCTATGCAGTCTTCGTAGCTTAAGCTCATACTATTTGAATTTTCCTTTAATAAGTTGTGTGGATAAAGATTTAAAATGCTGTTAAATTTAAAATTCAATTGGCATTAGTTTCTAGCAGTCTTTGAGTAACTGAGTTTTCCAGCAGTAGTAGGCAATGTACAGTTGATTTATAACAGTTAAGAAAAAGCCTCGCAAAGGGAAGTAAACTTAATCAGATAACATATCATATACTCTGACAGCTCAATATGTGTTTTCTCCAACATTGATTCGTGCTTCCATATTCTGCCCTAAAGTAAAAATGCCTCAGTGCTGTATCTGTGTTGCAACTGACTGCCCTAAATCTAAAGCACAGATTCATGTTACCATAGTTCTTATTCTTGACTCCTTTGTTTTGGGGAGAAAAAAACAACACTTACTGCTTACTTTTACCTTTTAAATATTTGTTTATTTTTACAGCAATGTTAAATTAGTTTTGAGGAAAATGTACACAGTGTTCTAATAGCTGGGAAACATACATAGCAGGATGTTTTAAATACTTTTGTCTATATAGTTCTGTTTGTAACAGTAATATATGGAGTTTTCTCCTTTTACATGTCTTTGACTTTTTGAAGGGTCTTGATTAATTTTGCCAGCACATAGCCCCAAGTAATTAAATTTTGTACTTTATAAAGTTTGCAAGAAAATAGCATATGAAAGTTTAAATGCTCATATTAAAAATATTTCTAGGACACAAGGAGTGAGGAAGTAACACTCTAAAAATCACCATGTCTTGAATTTTTGATGGGGCTCCAAATAATTTCCCAAAGAAATATTTGAGTTGATGCACATGCTCGGTTCTAGTTAGCAAGTTAGCAAAGGATGTGTTTTTCTAAGAAACTAATAATTTGAGATTGAATTACCTTATTTGGAGGATGTTACTGTGCTTAAAAGTGTTGTGTTGAAGAACTACTCACAAAAGAATTTAATAAAGTGGTACTGTACCTAAAGCACTAACTTCAGTCATCAGAGGTTATTTTGTTACAATTACGTAGACATCTGAGACAGAGGTGAGAAGAAAAACCAGTTTGTCTGAGTTGTTTCCAGATGCCCTAAACTACTAGAAGATTTAATTGCTTTATGAGGCCCGGCTTGTGGAGAAAGCATATATTTTATCAGGTAAACCTGGGAGAAACTAAGTTCTTTTAGCCCATTGATCAAAGCCTCCTATGAATGTAATGGTCCCTAAGAAGGAAGCTGCAGGGAGAAAGACAGAAGGGAGGAGTAAGATAGAGAAGAGGAAGCTCCGGAGCAGGCACAATAGTGAAGTGATATGATCAGTATGATGCTGTTTTCCTCAGCAGCTGAATCCTGCAGTGTAAACCAGGTGGTTTTACCCCCATCCTCAGTAACTTGGAAACCGGTATCATTATTAAAAATAAGCAATTGTTTTAACTTCAGGAAAAAACCCACCTACTTTTACATTTGTGTTTGACTTGACAGAGAGTCTTTGGACTTTGGTTAACCTAATCTGGTACCAAAAGTTCCTTTCTAACATAAAACCTGTCAGAGCAGACGTTTGACATAAATTCTTAAAATACTTTTTCTGTGTACTATTATGCTTATTGCTTTTACAGTCTTATCGTAAACTTTTCTGGTGTGAAGGAAGCGTAACATTACATATCAGAATATACTTCCACAGCTGAAGAAATGTGCAGGCTTCTAATTCCAGTTTAGTCCTGGTAGTCTTTTAACGCAGTTTATATTGTAGAGTCACTGTCAAATATTTTTGTTTTTATGGTCTGAAGGCTGTGTTGAATGAAGCTTTCAGAAACTGGCCTTTCGGAGAATCTGATGTCCCGTGGTCTAGTGGACCGGTTCTTTTTTATCGAATTTTGAATTGTATCCGAGGTAAAGTAGTAGACTATAGGGTCAAAACAGCAGTTTGAAACAGCAATGCACAGAGTGACAGGGTACATTGTCCTGACTGCAGTTACGACTGAACAATTAATCCAGGTCTGTGTTCTCATAAGGGAGTAAAGTATTAAGGTAATGTTATAAGGCACAAAGCAGAAGCAGAATATCACCAAATGGACAAAAATCATTTTGAGTACCTTTTTCTTGCTTAATTTATTCCGACTTAATGTAAGTGGTTTATTCAAAGTCCGTAGGACCATAGTAGAGCAGGTCACATTCAAGATGAGCGGAATAAAAAACCCAACTATTTCAATGAAGATAACAATCCGGGATAGGTAGGTTTTCCACGTGTCCTCCGAAAAGTTTTCAAAACATGTTCTTTGTTCAGTATTATTACGGCGGTTTGTAGACTGGAAAAAGCTTGCTGGTGTGCTGCCTGCTAACACGGTTATCCATACTGCAGCGCAGACAATTTTTGCGTTCCTTTTGGTTCGGAGAGTCTTAGATCGAAAGGGGTGTACTATAGCTAAAAAGCGATCTACGCTTATGCAAGTCAGAAATAAAATGCTCCCATACATATTTGTATAGAAGAGGGTGACAGAAATCTTGCAAAGAATGTCTCCAAACGGCCAGTTTCTCGCTACAAAGTAGTAAATCCTGAAGGGTAATGTAAACACAAAAAGAAGATCCGATATTGCTAAATTAAGCATGTAAGTTGTAGTCTCGTTTCGCACTTTTAATGTGCAAGTAAAAATGTAGATAGCAACACAGTTTGCTATGAGGCCAAGAACAAACACCATACTAAAGATACACCCATATAAAGTATATTTAAAGGAGTCCTCACTGGAACAATTAGAGCTTACCATGGTATATTTAAAATTCCTGTGATTTGGAGGTTTCTCTGGTACTTTTAGTGCAAGTTTTTGGTTTTTTTTTTTAGATTCCAGCCGAACTTGTAGATATGTTTGAACTGTGTGCTTTGGGAAGGTTGTTGCACTGTGAAGCTTCAGAGAGGAAACACAAGCGCTGTGGCAGGGGAGTACATCTCCAGCAGCGATCACCAGCAGGAGGTCGCTCTTCTCTTCCAAGTGCTATTTGTAAATCACATAGCCAGCCTTCGAAAGTCAAAAACCCACATCATTTGTGGCGGATGAGGTCGTCCCAAAGCTTGCTTAGTTCCATTTTCCCCCTCAATTCGATGAAGCCGCTGTAGAACTTTCTGCCTTATTCTTGGCTGCGGATCGCGATGGCGAAGCCTCGTCCATCCACGTTCACTGGGAACGTACGCTTTAGGAAACGATCTCCTGGGCGCCGCGAAGTGTCTCAGCGCTTGCGTTTCTCCCTCAGCCTTCTTTCTGTACGACGAGCTGTTCGGCCTCTCTCTCCCAGCGCTGGCTGGCTGGCCCCACGGGCGGGCGGGAGGGAGGGAAGCAAGCTGCTGGCGAGGGCAGAAACCAAATTCCAGAGCGTGTTTGTTCCTGCAGAGCACGGCCCTGGCGTCCTCAGCCTCTCGCCAGCCCGGCTCCTTCTGGAGCGGAGAGAAAAGGGCTCAGGCGGTTTGTAGCGTGACATCACAGGAAGAAGAGGACGGGCTCGCTGAAGAATGGTTTCAATTCGGTTTGTTTGCCTTCCCCTAATCTGATAATGTGTCTGCTGGGACTGTACCTTGCAGGCGTGCAAATGGTCACCAGCAAAGTGCTGCTGCTGCAGCTGCAGCCTCCTGTTAACTCTTTCCGTACTCCCTGAAAGGTCCTTTGTCCCTGTCACTGGGAGTCCAAAAGCTTCATCACAGAAGCTTTTTCTTGAGTTATGAGGAGACTTTTCAGTGCTTGAATAACTCGTGCACCTTAAAATTCCTGTTTTTCTTTGGTGATAGTAGTAATTGTGGGATTTTTGTGTTTTATGTAGGATTGAACTAGCGTTATGTTTTTCAATAGATATCTTTGCTTCTGGTAGATAACACCTTAATCACCAGAAATCAGCTGAGTAGCTCTATCTTGATTCCCTCAGTAGACCAGTACAAACCTCAGGAGGGACAAGGTAATGCTGATAGGCAATTAAAGAATTTGACCAAATAATTACTGAAAAAGAGAGGCAGAAGGATTATGAACCTGTGGGTTGCTCTTGGATGTTCCCAGGACTGAGGTATGTTGCAGTGGGAGGAGAAATTTTTAACTTTTTCTGTATTAGAAAGTATATCCCAAGCTCTATTTCTAATTAGAAAGATGGTTCTTCTTACAAAAAAAATAGGCTTCAATTTTTTTAAATTTGTTTTTGGACAGAAAGCATTTTGTTCAATATGTCAGCACAGAATTAATATAACAAAATAAATGCTGTGCTATGCGATTGTTTCTGATAATTTAAAGGGGGCCTCTTATCACACATGCACAAAATACGCCCATTAGTCAGTGATTAATGAAATGAAAACATGCTGTAACTAATTAAATTGTGAAGTAAATACAAAAAACCCCAGCTCTTACTGCCTTTAGGGGCAGATATGAGATAAATCTCGGTTTAGACAGACTCATTTATTTAACAACAGCTAGGATAGACTCACTTCTGGCATCAAAACCTGTCTATTTCTAAGTCTTAGAATAACAAATCTCTTCATATCTGGCTGGGTGGCATGGTTCTTTTGAACTAGATTTTTAATCAGTTGTACCTAAGCAAGGCTCTGGGCAAAACCATTCTAGTCTGCTGCAAAGGAGAGTCGGTAGTAGCACTTCACAGGGTTTTGGCATTGTTTCTTAATGTAAGGTATGTCAGACAAAATTCAGAAACATGCAAAAATGGGTCTCACTTATTTTATTTCAAGTTTTCTTGATAAGTTTCTTCTGTGAAACACTTGTCACCTTGATTTTGAGGTGAAATCAAGCAGTTTCACTTCAATAGGCTATAACCACAAAAAACCTTTTTGACTGGTTTTGAAATTCATACTTAGCTGTAAAGCATAGTGCATTTTCCACTTCTAAGTCAGCAAGAAATGAAAATGTGAGCTTGGCAGAGTCTCTTGAGTGTCTAACTTAACTTGTACCTTAGCATAAAGTTGCCTTACCTGGCTTTCCTCACAAAAGCAGTCGTCACATGTGGTTAAATTTTGTTTCTGTGTTCTATTATTGTGAAAGGGGAGTTTTCCTGAAAGAGTCCCCAGATTCTGCATTGGGCTGTGGGAACTCTGAGCTCACTTTTCCTGCTCCAGCTTTGTTTGCACGGCAAAACAGTGTGGGGCAGGCTCAGTTACCGGAATGAAAATCCCCGAAGTACAGAAATTTGACATCACATGTCAAAACCTCAAGCAATAATTCATGTTTAGAGAGGAAAACTAACGGAAATGAGTATATCGCTCTTATTCATTAGTACTTGATTTTCTGTTTGGGCAAAAGTGTGGGTACACAGCAACAGGGTGGGGTGGGGGTGTCTGACCAGGGGCACTGTCCATTTTACCATGGTAAATGTGCTTTAGAGCAATCACAAAGGGTGAATCCTTAGCCTTCAGTTTGCCTGTCAGGGCCCCTGCCTTGCTGTCGCTTCTGTTATGAAAGTGGGCACTACTCGGAGCTGTATTTTAGGGGCTTAGGTATATAATTCTGTTGTCTTTGGGATTTTCTCTTGCCCCTGCACCTTTTGGTGCAGAACAGTACATGCATCTTACACTAATTGAAGAAATAAGTGGTATTTCTGTGCTTCCAGAAATGGCATTCATCTGGAGGGTTTCTCCCCCTGCAGAAGAAAGTTTCAAAACCTCAAGTTGACAGCTTTTTACTTTGTGTCGTGTTTAAGTGAGTAGATGTATGACTGAGTGGGCAGTCTGACTCGTTTTAGTGTAAAAGTGTAAATGTCAAAGGGGAATTGCATACCCCTTTTCTTAAATTAGATGTGCCTGATTGTTATCAAGCACTTTTGTTAATTTGTGTGAGCTTTTCTGAGCTGGAGAACCTGTGTTAGTGCATCTCGAGCTGCGGGAGTCGAGAGCAGCCTCTCTTCTGGCCAGCCTGTAGCGTGAGCGGGGAGGAAACTTCATCGTGCACTTTCCTTGCATTGGATCACATTTCAAGATGTTGGGCTTTGTGTCATCAGATTTAAAAAAGCCTTCAGTAAGCCCCAATGCTTTAAAAAAAATGTAAAAAATGTTTATCAGTTGTTATGGAGGAAGAATTGACGTTGTTATGACCTTGTTTATGCTCCTTCACCGTGGGCAAATTTTCCTTTGGGTTGGGAAGGGGGGGTAGGCAGGAGGAAGCAGCTGCAGGGAGGGCCCTGTATGCTGAGGGTTTTTCTTTTTCTCCAAAGGAAACGATGCTGCCGCTGCAGGGAGATGCATATGTAAGTCTGTCTGCCTTTCTGCATGAGAGCCAGGACTGAGTTAGGACCTGTCATTTGTTACTAGTGCTAGATGAGCAAAGACTGCGTTGCCATTAACAGGCTTCCTGTGGCTCTTGAAGAGGCATCAAAGGCAGAGTGAGGGTGGGCTCCTTAAAGCTAAGAGCTGGTGAGATGCTTGAAATTGTCTCTCACTTCAGCACGGAACAGATTTCACGTACTCCTTCAGTCGGTTACCACTTAACTCTTCTTATATGACTTTAGATACCTGAGTTTAGATATCTAGGACTCTTTACACCCCTGAGCAATCTTGGATTTGTGTGGCAAACCTATTCCAGCATTGAACAGCAGATCAGAAGGAAAAGTCCTTATAACCCTAGCAGTGTGCTAGTAGAGTGGCTGTAGGACACTGCCACCAGCAGCTGCTGCTTCCTCCTGCTCCTAGGTGCCATTGAGCTGGATACTTGCTCTCATTTCAGACACAGGGGCAGGACCCCTTAAATTCTGAAGTCCAAATTCAGTGATAAAGAAATATTTCACTGAAATAAAACAAGTACTGCAAGGCTTTCCAAGCCTTCGGAGTCGTTTTGGTCAGTGTTGCCTGTTCCTCTGGTGTTACCTTAGTCTTCAGTGCTGGAATCAAACAGAAATTGCAGAAGGTGAAATGAATTTTGAACTTGTCTTGTGCACTGCGTTTAGTGTGGTGCTAATGATACTACTAAAACCTCTTTCTTGCTTTAGAGGAAAAAACCAACTTCAACATTAATAAATTCTTAATTAATAATGTTGTAATAAATTCTTACAGTGCTTCCAAAGCCAGAGTATGCACTGTTAAATGGAGGCTGTCAGGTGCACAGAACGCTGTATGTAACTGTATTATTCTATAACTGATGCTACTGCTTTTAGAAGCACAACTGTATCATGGTATGGGCATTTGTTCTCACTTCGGTTAGGCCAGCTTATGCAAGAGAACTTGTGCTATCTGTTGCAGTGAAGACAAACACTGGCAGGACAGGCAAAGTGTTTTCTTTGTCCTAAGTGTTGTTATTTATCCAATCATTTTCATGGGTTTTAGCATTTTTAGTCTATTTACTGGAGTTTCCCTTTGAGCATGCGTGTGTACAGGAAGGAATTTCTTATGATTGAGATGTAGGGCTGGGAGCCAGGAAGTCTGTTTCTGGCCATGCCACGGATTTTCTGTTCCAGTCCCGGCAGAAGTTTTCTTTGACTTTGTGCTTTAGCTTCCCTCTGTGTAAGAGCTCGTTCACTTCCTCACTGGGATGCGAGGCCATCTTAATTGTTAAATATATTTAAATATATCAGCAATAATTTGAAGTCCTTGGATGGAGAACCCTTTATTAAATATGATATTGAGATAATTACCGTGGCTAGTGAATGCAATAAAAATGTAGGAAGATTAAAATTTTCTATTTTTAGATTAGATTCCTGACCAGCAAAAGGATCTACTAAGAGCCTTCACTTGATTCAGCTCCATAAGTCTACGGGGAAGTAGGTCCAGAGAAAGCAGGGCTGGGGACTTTGAGCT